ATTTATTTATTTACTCATTCATTTATTTCTTATTATTTATTGATTTTTTTGGTATTTTTTTATTATTTATTTATTTTAATTTAATTTCTACTATTCCAAGTCTAATATTTTTACTTTTGTTGACAATAACTGTGCATTCTTGACACCTATGTGCCTACTTTCCCATCTAATTGTTATCACCAATGGTGATCTGTGATCGGAGTTCTTTTTCACTCACTCTTTCAGTTCGTTTCTGAATTTCCACATGAATAGACATATTTGTGCAGTGAAATTTATTTTGAACAATTATTTTATAAATAAAAACATGTCATCAAGAGAAGCAAGTTCTTCACGTTGTGACGAAAAAACTGTTGACGATAACTCTTCATACAGTGATGTATCGAAGCAGCGGCTAAAAGATGGAGTAGTGTATTATGAGAGTTTACTTTCCGAAAATAATTTTAATTGCAACATCTTCTGATACACTATCTGAAAATGCTATGCTGATAAGCACAGAATTATACAATAATACATTGGATGTGTTGAATGAAAAAGATTTATAATTGTTGCAATTAAATTATTTTTGAAAAGTAAACTCTAACAAGGAACTTTAGCTCTAACAAGGAGACCCTTTGGGTTTCCTTGTTAGAGCTAAAAATCTATTTTGTATTGGAATTGAAACTAATCTTTCATTGAAGAGAAATATTTTGGCACAGAAGAGTTTAGAATCAAGAAACAATGACTTGTTTAATGTTTTAATATAAGATTACAAATTTGATTGATTTATGAAACTTTATATGAGAGAGAAATTATAAAATATTGTGATAACTTTTAGCTATACCCGAGGATGCAATTGACCAAGAGAGTGAAGACGAAGACAAGCAGGATCCTGACGAACGAATCAGCATCAGAGCATCAGAAAAACGGATTGCCTGCGAAGAAGAATTTTCTGACAGTGAAGACGAAGGTGACGGAAGGAGAGACATCCGATCTCACAGACCGAAGAAACGCCAGAAGGGTGATGAGGGTGACAAGGACAAACAGGGTGGAAGAAAAGACGACGAATCAAAGGGTATTTTATTCATTTTTTTTTTACATATAAGTTTTTTACTCACTGTTTTTCCGACTTTGTTTTTGTTCAGAAAAAGAAGATCGAAAGACCGACGTAACTGATAAAACTGAAAGTAAAAGGTAAGTGGAAATTTTTTTTCATTTTACTTTGCATAGCATATTATTATTTTGACTGAAAATGATCTTATATTCACTTAACATGAAACAACAATATCTATAATTTTGTGTATGTTACTGGAAGACAATATCAAATATTATACGATGATTCCAACATTGCAAAAGAGTAGCTTAAGATGCATACTTCTTTCATTGCCCTTCAGTGTTTGCTTAGAAATACTTTGTTGATTTTGTCCACAGTGGGCATTAGTGTATTTTGTATTTGGGAGAATTGATATGAATCTACATGTGCTGATGATTGTCACATATAATTCAAAAATTTTTAAAGCTATAATTGCAAATAGAAGAGTGATTAAATTACAACAGAGATGTCATATTTTGACATATGGAAAATATGATCTGGACTCCAAAGTCTAATACATGTGATAAATTGTGAGAGTATTGTAATGTTTCCTCATCCTCACTGACAAATCAGTATTCATCAATACCAAAGAGTAAAAGAATCATTTTTGCATATCATTCATTCCCTAATTAGAGTACAGATACAGAAAAATGTAGAAATGTTCAATCTGTTAATTTTTCTTTAATTGAATTGAATGAGACACGATACAGTGAATAAAGCTGCAGTTATATAAAATCTGTCAACAACATAATAGTAAAGAGAATTTTATTGTAGAAATTGCATGTTAAAACAATTTCCTTTGGAAACATGAAACATGTACCTCTATCACACCTTTCATCCCAGAAGCACTGTGAAGTTTGTTGGTACAAATGTCCCAAGATTGCAATTCTTTGATTTAGAAAAGCATCCTTTAGGATGATTTTTCAACTTGGAGAAGAGACGAGTTGCACATTTGTGAAGTTTTGTGCAAAATTTGCTTTCATATCTGTTGTAATCTGGCGGACAAACATACTTTAGCCATTTTGAGAATTCTTGGGCTGTGTCAAAGCAACTTGTAATGGGTCTTGTCTCATCCAAAATTGAACATTAGATTATCATGGGGCATTTTTGCAGCAATGCATTTTAAAAATTGGTCTCATTACTTTTATGACAGACCATACTAGAAATGTGTGATGCATCAGCGCTAATTCTAATCCAAATCAAAAGGTTATGCCAAATGTAAACTAGAAGTGGGTAGTTTTGGAACTACAAGGAATTATTTTACATTGATCACCAAGACTGCTCTAGTCAGAACTACCAATTCATTCTTCATTCTGTAGTTTTTCACAGAACAGTAAACTCTCTATTTGGATTTGAAGTTGAACTAAATGAAAATGTTTTATGAGTTTTTAGGAATATTGAATAATAAGAAAAATATCTGCTAGTTAGTTACAAAATTTATATGTCCAGCATTTCCCAAACAAACAGTAAAAAAGAAAATGTTAATACAAAGACCATATTAAAAGTTTGCTGATTTTAGCCTACTGTTATATTTATCATGTAGTATCAAGGCGATTAAATTGGGAAGAGTGGAGTGTCCAGCCTATATTTTCTTCAATTCTAAAAATTAAGAATGAAAAATTTGGTGCAAATCAACCAAGAAGCTTAGAATGTTGTATGTCTATCTGTTGTGTGTGTTTACATTTGCCATGTATAATTATGATGCATATATAAATTGAAATAATTAAAAACAATATTTTATTAGCAAACACTTGAGAGTAATATGATTCTGTTCATTTCCATTTCCATGTACAAAGGAATGATGTTCTCTATTCATTGATTTCATTTTGGTACTGCCTAGAATATCTGAACAATTCTATTAGTTCCAGTTCCAGAAGCAGAATTGAATTTCCCACCTCTAGCATAAACATCTCTGAGTATTAATGCAAAGTATGCTTTTGCTGTTATAATGATTTATTAAATAAATAACAATCAATTTATAAAAGTCATTTGATATCTTTTTTGTGCAAGCATTGAGAGGAGTAAAGCAAAAGTGCTTGCGATTCATAAGTTGATAAAAAAATCTGGAAATAATTATTAAAATACGAATTGTGATTTTAAAGAGATTTGAGTTTTTTTAAGATGAAAACATAAAAAAAAACTTCTTCAAAGTTTCCAAATAGGAGAACATGTGCATCAGTGGAGGAAAATTTATTTTTAAATCTGTCTTTCACTATCAATGCCAGAGGAAAGGATTACAATTGCCGAGAGGAACTGGCACGAGAAAACTTAACATTGTTTGCCAGCTTTTGAAGTAGCAATGTAAAATTTCTCAAAATTTGATATCTTGAGACATTATTATAATAGGCAATACATGGTATCTGTTGTCTGTCATTATCTTAAATTTGATTGCAGTTAGTATTTAAAAGAACTCTTTGTAATTTGGCATTTGGCATTTCAAGTTAATATGTCAAATTGCAAGAAGATTGTTTGATAATTCTCCATAAGATTTTATTTCTAAGGTCTTTATAGACGAAACTCTAAAACAGATTGCAAAATAAGTTTTTTTATTTGACTTAAAACTTATTGTCTTAATAGTAAAACTAGGTCTGTTGTTAGTTATATAAGGCATGTCATTCCAAAACTCATCTTATCTTCTTAACCAATGGAAAATACATTAAAACTGATAACATGATATGGAAAGTTTATAGCCATTGCAAAGATGCATAACTTTGTGTTTAAAGTCAAACGATGTTCCAGCACTTATTTTAAAGTTCAATATAAAATTTGCTTCAAAAAGGTAAACAAAAACCCCTTTTGCACCAGAAGTGACAAGAGATTTTGCTGATATCAGAAAATCGTTTTGGAGAAGGCTGGTGAACACTTTCCAAAATATTGAAGTTTATAAGATAAGACATATCTTCCCAACTCTTTGTTGAAATTATAATTCCATTGCCTAATAAATTACATCACATCCATTCTAATGTTGGTTTCTAAAAGTTTAATTTTCGTATTCAATAAAGTGGATATGATGCATTTTGGAATATGCGTCATACATTGTTTTATGGGGTCTGGCTGAATAATTTCCTGTGAAAGGTAAATGAAAAAAGGCTTTGTAGATACTATTTAAACTTTCACTCTACAATCAGAAAGAGCAACGCTTACCATTAATCGTTTTGTTTATTCAACCAAGTACTGTTTTAAAATTTATATTGTTCAAATGCCTGCTACCACATCTTACACACTTTTGAAGTTTCACATTGCTTGATTAGTCATTTTCCATAGTATTGTCATACTTGCATGACAGATGGCATCTTCAAGTATCTCCAGTACTGAGAATTTGTAATGGTCCACCTCAATACTGATATTCTGCAGCGTTTGAATAATGTAAAGTCTACTGGCGGCTTTTTAAAAACAAACTAATTCTTAACAATATGTTTTTCCTACTGAGAATCCTTTTGTTTCAATGTGATCTGAAATATACATGAAACAATCACAGCATTGCGAGTTGCCATTTTTGAAAAAAGTTTTAACAACAAATACATGATCCTTCCCATTCCACCCCAGGATGATTAAATAGATGTCTTGAAGACATAATTCTGCCTTCCACTGCAAAGTGAAATGCCATGCTGGGTCAAAGAAACAAAATGATAAAACATTGCTCTTTCTGATCATACAATGAAGGTGTGCTTAAACTATTTGTACCTCATTTAACTGACTTCCAATAATGTCTTTTTCTTGTGGATTCCAGGTTATCGCTGGCAATATAAGAACCAATATACTGGCCCTTAATATTCATTTCTAGGATCTACACCCAGCCTCAGTAGTTGGGCTTTAATTTTAAAAAATTGTAGACCTACCACTATAAAGTCCCATTGTCATCCCATCCGTTCATCTGTCCTTCCTTAATCTCAAGAATGGTGTTAAATAGATGAAAGTTGAGACCAGATATGGAAAGTTTAGGGTGCAGGAGGCCCAGATTAACTATATAAGAATACTAATGTGAGTTCTGGTGCAAACCAGGTGCCGTATTCTGGTCGCTCGTCTCTTCTTTCAATGACGAATGACATCAAAACGAGAGACGAAATTTGTCTCTCAGTATCGTGACGAGATCGCTAAAAGTGACCAGAATCTCCACTGTTTCTAATAGGTTGATTACACATGTTTGGGTTATCTGCACACATAACATGGTATAGAATTTTAACCAATGAAAATGTAAAATTTTCGAAAATGCAGAGTACATAATCATAGATCACGTGTTCAAATACATTTGTTGAAATTACATGCTTTTTGTTTTTACAGATTATAATGTCGATTTGTCTCTTAGGTTATTAAAGTTTTTATTTAAGTTAGATATTTTTCGAAATATTACCATCTAATTTCTCTTTAACTAAGTAAGATTAACATCATATTCTATAGTTCAGTAATTGATGTAGGATAATAATTTAAAAAAAAAGAATCAGTGGCGTTTCCCAGTAGGCACTGGAAAAAGCATTTTCTCGTTTGAAATATTCTTTCCCGAGATAGAGAACGTTCTCTAATATGATTGTACAGCGTGAGTAGCATCCAGTTATCCATATTGGATATAACAAAATCAAGGTGAAAGACAACTATCCACTCGTCTCTGACAAACGAGAGAATCGCGATGATCTCTCTAGACGTAAACAAATGATTAGCCAATTGGCAACCAGAATACAGCACTTGAACTCACATTATTTCAATCAGTTCAAACATTTTCTCCCAAAAGATGTTTAGATGGACAACTGGTATGACACTATTGTTAAAAGAAAAATATGATGTACAGGGACAAGCCACTACTAATTTGATGTGAAGAGAACATATTTTAAATAAATTAAAAATATGATTAAAAATTACAGCCCAGCATT